CTTTTCTGGCTTCCCATTTGGATTTACCATTTTTTCATATTATGTACTGGAAGGGAGATATTGAGGGTGGGAAGTTTTCAAATTGACACACTGTATATGGTGAAAATAACACTTCTCAATTCTCGCAATACTAACGTTCAATTGTTTCTGCTAGACATAAACAAGTTACAAGGTTCAACCTGAGAATGAAGGTATTCTCGGGTTCAACTTTTAAGAGTTATCATTGTTGAGGTATTATGGTATTATGAAAGTTAATTTCAATCTATTTTTCATCTTTGATAAACAGTCAACCATAAAATATAAAAAACAAACTTCAGCTGAGCGAAAATAAAAGACAAAAAGGTGTGTCGAAATTGAAATATCTCTATAAAAAAAATGACTCCCAGATTATTTGTTAACAATAATTTACTGAAATGAATACAAACGAAACGTTTGACACCTGTCGAAAAAAGCATTCAAAATCAAAATTCTTGCAGATACTCATCTGAAAAAAATTTTGATATCTTCTGACAAACTGGGGCATTAGTGTATTTATGAGTCTGCACAGAAATAATCATGACGAATCCATTATATGGAATATATAACGTTCAATAATTATAATATTTTGAATACTGTCCAATACACTTTTTCATCATGTGACCAGCTCGTCGTCATGTTGAAGGATCGGAAATTTGAGAGTTACATACAGTGTGTCAATTTTAAAACTTACAATGGGCTATATCTCACGAACGAATTCTGATATCGAAAACTGCTTGAAACCGTTTCTAGGATAGTAAGGGAGAACTGAAGTGACATGAAAGAGAACTCACCTCCATCAACCCCCTAGGCCCCACCCACCAAACTCAAAAAGTTCAAATTGCAAACCCCTACTTATGATACATCATTGAAAAGACTATAAAAAATGCTATTCATCGGTATGAATGATAATTGTACAGGGTGAAGCAATAATTGTGAAACTTTGGTCTGAATTGAATATTTAATGAGGTTTTTGTTGAACTACAAATTTATTAAAAATGTCAATTAAGTAAATGTTCGAAGTGGGTTCCGTTGTTTTGTAAACAATAATACAGCCTATTGTCAAAGTCTGCAAAAACTTTATTATCAGCCGGCTCACTATGACTTTTTTATTTGTAATGCTACCTCCCGGACTATTATTTTAAATGATAAGTGTCCGTCGATACTTTTTTTGTTGAATAAAAACTTAATTTGCCGTTTTTTGCAAAACAAGTTGGAAAGATATGTTTTTTGGGTGAGGTAGTTAGAAGGTTATTTATCAATACAATGTTATAGTGAAAATTGTAAATAAACTGAGTAATCATTGAATAATTGAAAAATTGAAATAGAAATTAATCACCAATAATATGGGTTACTATGAACTTTCATACTGAGATTAGAGATTGAGGTAATGTTTTCATCAATGATACCAATGGTTATGATTTTATCAATATCCAATCTTGATCCAATATTGATTGTTTCATCCATTTTCTCCATAAACATGCAAGTAGCAAATACCCACAACTATCATCAATCGATCGAAAACCTCTGTCACCTCGGTCACTTTTTTACCTCAAACTCATTTCCTGCATTTTCAACATATTTCATTGTGAACTTGATGATTTACATTTTTTTTATGATATCTAGAACAAGTTTATAAAATAGTAGGTACTAGTTTTCTAGTAGATTTTACAGTACATTTTCGGACAGAGCCATCATTTCTACAAATTTCAGTTGTCGTATCTATCCCAAAGAAAAATTGAATGTTTCACGAAGTTTTAAGTCAATACTCCTTCCAGTTTTTTTATATAATCGTTGAGTTATTTTTGTTTAGTATTGGAAAAAAATAAATTCGAGGAAAATGACAAAATGTTTCATTTTCAATGTATTTTTGAAAAAGTTGTAATTTAGTTTGAAAACAAAATATTTACTTTGAGAAATTGAATATTATTTTATCTTTCCCCTGCAATTGTGAATTCAGTGTTTGCAAATGTTTCATGACATCAGTCAAAAACATTAAGTCTTGTAAGCACTCGTCATCGTATAATTCTGCAACGTTGCACTTAGTCTTTCATATTTGTTGTCAGTTATTTGAAAGACATTTTGGAAAACATATGAAACAGAAATACGTTTTTTAAATTATAATAGCACAAAAATGAAAAGGGACTGGGATACATTTATCAAGAGCAACAAATAATCTTTCAAAGAGCCGCATATGGCTCGCAAGTCGCAGGTTGGCCCCCCCTTATAGTGTATATTTCAGTACCAAACAATCATTGCAGGGGTCATAAAATATCATTATTGATATTTCACATCTGACAGGACATATAATTTTTGCATTAAAAATTATAATACGGTGATTCGGGAGGTAAGGTGATTCGTATCGTTTTTATTCATATCAAACAAAATATACTATACCCACCTTTACCATTAGTTTTTTGTTCACAACAAAGCCTATACTGAGAGTCCAAGGGTTGCTGTATTTCACAAGCATTAGCAGTAGAATTCTTCTATTTTTATTATTCCAATCTTCCCAGTGACACTGACATAAATTCCAATACAATTTTTCTGCCTGGAAAAATACTTTTTTTCAGTAAATTTCGGCACATACCATATTTCCCAACCGCAACAGTTTATTTTCCCACTTATTTTTTATTATAAATTGATTTTGTTGATGTATATAGTTTAGATATGCTTGGCAGTGTCATCCCCAAAGTATGCACCATATGGGAAACTTATTAATTAAGGTCTTTTCCACAAAAAGTTATTTTTGATAAAAGTTTGTGCATCCCCTAAAACTGAACATGCACTTACTAAATACAGTAAAAGACACATAATATACGAGGAGCCTTGATTTTGAGACAAGAGTAAAGTAATCTTATTTTGAAAAATTTCGGCAAATATTATTCGGAAAAATTGTTCAGCATTGAAAAATACATCTAGATTTGAAGTCATGGCCATCTGACTAGAGTTTTATTTTTTTGGGGACTACGAAAAAAAAAATTTTGCTGAAACGATAAATAGACAGCATCCTGTATACGACGGTTCATTTTCAGAGCCTGTAATATTACGAATTACACAACTATGGTGTTAGCCACGGAAAATTTTTTTGAAGAGTGAAATAATTTTCAAAGTTTTTGGTGATAAGTTATTTTTATTTTTTGTCAACACCGAAAATTACTCGAAATTATACAGTATTGTAACAAGAACTTGATACTCAATAATATAAAATCACAAAACATCAAAATAAAACAGGTATTATGGAACAAACTCATTGATTTTCTAGAGATTATTTTGAAGAATGCTGAAGAACAACATCGTATGCCTAGAAGAACAAGATTATCTCTCTAAAATGCAAGAAGTAGTGGGCACATTAGATGTCACCATCCTAAGAAAGGATCCTACCAAAACATACTTACAACAAGTTAAGAGAATTATAAAAGAATCAACTATGATATTCTCCACATCATGGGATATAAAGAAGACAGTATGCATGAACCCCTCGCCTTTGGAAATGTATGAACTGATCAAGATACACAAAGAAGGAAACCCGAACAGACCAGTTGTATCAAAAGTAAGTTGTCAAAAGTTTTAAGTTCAAAGTTCAGAGATCTCACAAAATTCACTCTATCCAATACAGATTTAAATTCAGTAGACCTAGCTAATGAGTTGTCCAATATGAATATCAAAAATAATATAAAACTAATATCTTTTGGCGTAAAAAACATGTTTTCTAGCGTTCCAACAAAGGAATGCCTTCCTCTTGTAAAAAACATACTAGATAAATATAATACTAACCCGTATATAACTCACAAATTCTGCAATCTCTTAAATACATGTCTGACACAAAACTTTTTCAAATTCAACAATAAATTTCATTCACAAAACTCAGATCTCTCTATGGGCTCACCATTAAGCCCCATACTAGCAGATATCTTCATGGACAGACTAGAGAATACCCTCATCCTCAACAACCCCCTGTCTCAGAAACATATCGTTTTTTGGTACAGATATGTTGATGACATACTAGTGGGCTTTGATGGTTCTAACAGACAAATTAGCCAATTTTTGAACTTCCTCAATAGTTTACACAGCAAAATTAAATTCACTGTAGAAATGGAACAAAACAATGAGCTTAACTTCTTGGATTTGAATATTTTAAAAATTGAATATTACTGGAGTTTTTTCCCAACACCAAATCGTTATTTTTGAATACCTCGACACGTGTTCCGATCACCAAGTGATCATCTTCAAAGATGAATATTAAAGAAGAGAAAGGGGAAGATAAAATCGGTTTTAATCTTCCTCTTTGAAGATGATCACTTGGTGATCGAAACACGTAATGAGGTGTTGAAAATAACGATTCGGTGTTAGGAAAAAACTCCAGTAATATTCATTACTACACCAAAGGTTCCAAACAGTGCATCATAAATTTTAAAAATCAACAACGGTTTTCAATTTAATATCTATCGAAAGAATACATTTACATATTGTACGATCCCCTTCGACTCTCTCTGTCCAACCTCACATAAATTAGCAACTTTAAGGTCCATGACACACAGAGCAGTCACAATCCCTTTACCTGAACAGAATATTCAGAATAAACTGAAAGTCATCAAACAAATAGCGGTCGAAAACCAGGTACCTGTGTCCTTAATTGAAAAGATTATTATAGGTCAAACCCATAAAACTAATATGGGAGAACTGTACCCATACATCAAAGAACAGAATACAAACAAATATAGCAGCATTAATTACTCAGGGATATTCAGTAGATATTCAAAATTACTTTTCCAAATTCAACATAATGACATCTTCCATAAGTAAAAATAATCTGGGCAAAATCAAATTTAATGCAAAACCTAGACGTGACAGAATGATGAAATATGGCATGTATAGAATAGAATGTAGTGAATGCTCTGCAGTAGGTATATACAGGTCAGACTGGTAGAAATTTCGAAATAAGACTCTGTAAACACGTCGGTGTAGACAAAAAATCTTCTATGTACGAACATCTACAAGAAACAAACCACAAAATGAGTAAGAAAAACCTCAAAATCTTACATACATGTAGTAAAGAAAGGAAAATGAATTTGTTGGAAGCCATGGAAATCAATAAATCAATTAAAAACTCAAAATATAGAACCCTTAACGAACAAACAGATTAGTGTAGGTCTCCACTTTTGAATTTATAAAGATGACAATACAATTAATCACAGTTTGAAGTTTATGGAGTTGAATATTACTGGAGTACTGGAGTAACTCCAGTAATATTTATTACTACACCAAAGGTTGCAAACAGTGCATCATAAGTTTATGGAGTTGGTATTAATGAATGTTTATTACCTACTCTCGGATATATACTCCGATATTTCTCTCAGGTCAGTAGTGTTAGAATACTTGAGAATGGTGTAAAAACCGAAACCTTGGTCGTATTAATATCAATACATTAAGTATGTGGAAATTAGACAAAGTATTTAATTGGAGATGGATTACCACAAAATAAATAAGTCATCAATATCACAAACTTCGTTTTCGAGAAAAAAAATCACTTCTCAAAACTATTCATGGGTAACAAAATAAAGATCAAACGTAAATAATGAACAATTGCGACTTTGAAGTAAATGACCAAAATGTCCACCTTCTGATGAAATACACGAATGCAATCGATTCTTCATTAATTGTTTGATACGTTCAAAAATACCTTATGACATTATTTGATTCATCAATCTATTCACATCTAGTACGGGAGTTTTATAATCAAAACCCTTTGGATGATCCCATGAATAAAAAACTACAAGATTCATATCACGACTGCAAGCTGGCCAATTTTGAGGTCCTGCACTTCCAATACAGCGATTAGGGTAGGTGTTATTGAGATGCTGACGAGCAAGAACACTAAAATGATATGGAGCCCCGTCGTGCACAACCAAATATTGTCAATCACATGTATAAGCACTTCTTCTAACAAAATTGGTAAATTATCCCGCAAAAAGTATAGAATATGTAGGATTCATCTTTATATCTTGCTGGTAGAAAAAAAAGGCCAATTAGGTAGTCACGAATCACTCCCACTCAAACGTTCAGCAAAAATTGTTGCTGAAAATAAACGGACAAGATACAGAAATTGCAATGATCAGCATTTCTGTTAATAATAGCGGGAATTCCTACTGCATATTAAAGTGTTTTATTCACCATATTACTAACATAAAACTAAGCAAATTTTTTTAAATACATATTTGTATATTAGTTTTTATTTTATTCAGATTGGGTACTTTTGTTCCATTTCTCACAGTTGATCTCAAATATAACATATATTGAATTATAATAAAAATCTTACTTCATCAGTTAACTCCTGTCCACATGAACATAATGTATTAATGAAGATTAACCAAGACAGCAAAGTGAAGTACATTCTGAAATTGCTGGCGGGGCTGATTTCCTACAAAATAAAAACAACTCTCAACATTACAAATTATTGGCATTGAACTCCACGTTGACTATTTATATCATACATCATATTATATTTTCCAAAATGTAACACTTCTTTTTCTAAATCAAAGAGATAATGCCTGTTTGAATATACTACCTGGGCTGAAAAGTCTCGGGCCCAACATATAGATGGTGCTAGATTTATAGCTTTCACCGTTTTTTCAGTTGGTACTGATGTTCAAAAGGAAGCTTTTGAAATTTCATAATATTCCAGTCATAAGTTTGTGAGTTATTATGCTGAGAGTGACACTACTTTTGTTATTTTCAAAATCAAGAATCAAGATCAATTTCGTGTTTTGATTACACTGCTTCTTGATGGGAAGAAATAACGTTAAAGCAAAGAAATGGCTTAATGAAATCTTGAATTTTTTCGATATCTGACATATTTGTCGTGAATAAAAAATAAAAAAGCGAGTGTATATAGAGATTGTTTCTTTTATTATGTAGTGACATTGCTATATTCTAAACCGTAACAGATACGAAGACGATTAAATGAGGGAACTCTCGCCCTTCTCGAGTTATACGAGAAAAACCAAAAATGCTTTTTTTAGTTTGTTCGAATGGAATTGTTATTTCTGAGAATATCAAAACATGAAAAGGGAAATGTTATTTTATTCGAAGTGTACTATGACGATGTAATAATAAATATCCGATAAAACGTTTCTTGTCAACATGGCCACCATCAACTATTGTTTTGAAATTCGGACCTGTCGGTTTCATCATAGATATTGATAAAGCAATAAATTCACAATCCAAGGGTAAGTATATCACATTTGATATTTTTATAGTGTTCGAAATAACTGCCATCATCAGTGACATCAATTTCAAATTACGGTCCTGTCGTTATTTCTTTTGTAAATTGTTTTGATTTCGTCAAAATATAATGGACGTGTTTCATGATTTTTGGTTTATAGTTCACTCGATAGAAATTTTAAATTGAAAAACAGTGCACTTTGTTTCATCTCTCTAAGTACCATAGTTTTCCCGTAATCAATTATTAAAAATCGAATGTGGTAGGGTGATGACGTCACGTCCCTATTCCCGCTTCTTGTTCGATTGACCAATAGGAACAATAAAAATAATCAACATTGGCAAATCGTAAAATTTATGAAGCATTCTAATATAGCTCCTAAATTCAAACGTTATAGGCTCGCTTGGGTAATCTGTTGAATCTTCCCAAACTTGAGAGGAAGGTTGAATGAGGTCAAGTATAGACAGAATTGATTGTACTCGAACTGATCCAACAAAAGCTTCTGAGGTAATAATACCATTAATCATATGATAAAATTCAATTAATTTTGTTTCATACTTTCAGTAACAGGATTAACTCCAAATAATACTATCTGTGGAGAATACTTGAAGTTGAAATAAGAAACTCTGTCATCAAATTCAATATTTTCATTCCCCTTTCATTTATAGTCACTTTTTAAATGATTTCTATAAAATCTTGGAAGAGTAGAAGGATTTTAGTTTTGTCTTTTCAATACTTTCACCCATTTTTTTCTCATCATTTTATCCTCTGGGAACCTAAACAGTATATGAAATAACTCACTTATAAACCAATGCGCTTTCTGTTTTCTTGTGCCTTTCTGCACCATTAAAATCAGCACAAGAATGCATCATAATAATATTCAAATATATCTCTAAAACACTTTCAAAACATACACAAACTAAACTCCATGAAAAAACGAATTGTTCCTACACGAGCTGTCAGCTAAGAAAAAGTTGAAAGTCAATGTTGCAAAAACAAGCAGAATGGATCCGATATGACATACATTTTCAATGCCAAATAAACCAATAAATTGTGATATGGGTACTTCATTGATCGTAAATGAACGATCAATTAAAATTTTCTGTAATTATTTATTCATTTTTCTAAGAATGAAGCCAGCAAACAAATAAATATACGGTAATAAAATCGCTCGAATCCACGAATTAAGCATAAAAATGGACAATAATATTTGCCTTGAGAAACTGATAAACTAGTACAAGTTATATCTAATTATAATTCTAAATAGAATTAAACGAGCAGTATTTTCAAATTGTTTTTGAATGCTCATGAAACCTGATAAAATATATCGATTATGCATTCATGCCACCCACCAAAAAATTAGAAATTCAACATTACTGGTATATTAGCCATATTGTCATCCAGTCAGTCAGCACCCTCTGTAGTGTATGTGACAATATGCTCTTTCTTATGTCAATTTTTTCCACACACTTCGTATTTTTGTTAAAATAATTTCAAAATGAGTGTTGATCCTAGTTTTGTTAAAGCTGACTCCCGACAACTTACCAATGGTCGATTTTGAAATGATCGATGAATTTTACTTGGAAAATTTGCAATACTTTGGTACCGAAATGAGGAATGAAAAATTGAAACGATAGGTGGTATATTTAGTAGGTCCCTTTTATTTATATGACATTCATTTCAGACTTTGTCTTTTATCGAAGGATGGAAAGTTTTGATTCAATTTTTATTTTATCTCGGCCAAGGAGCAGTAGGGTGACTGAAAAGAGGAGCAAAAATATAAACAGTGAAATGTAGAATTACTCCAGAACATATCAATCCAAAAATAACCTGAAAAAATATTTTTCGGAATGTAAACTAATGACACGGAATATGCACCAAAATATGTACCCGCCGTGACCTACTTTTTACAGAAAAACGTTCTGTAATTATATAATTGTAACAGTTGTATCCACACCAAGTTGACAACAATAACAACTAAAATGGCGTCTGTCAAATTGGATCACCAGATCTGTGATTGGATATTAAAAACCAATACAACAGACACCCGGCCAATTTAAATTCTTGCTTTTCGATTTTTTTTTCTGCAAATATAAAGAGATTTTGGGACCGATTAGGCTTGATAAGTATAATATACCCTTAACTCGATCAGTCTATAAGCAAACCAGTATCATTTTCCATAGCATGAAACAAGCCCATTCAGGCAACACATTCATTTCGACAGGTAGGTACCCTAAAACAATGGAAGTAACGAAAATATCAATTTTTGTCAAAATTCGAGTGTTGTATAATTCGGTATGAACAAATAGCATCTCATTTACCATCTTGAATGCGTAGGCTTTGCATGATTTCTATGGCAGGAAAAATGAATGCGTTGTTAATATCTATTCAGAACTGTCAGACTTTCATGAACATATCAAATATGTATTCAAATGATGGAAGAACTGATATGCTATTTAGTTATGCAAAATCAAATAGATTTCAAGGAATATGTACGCCTACTATCTTCCTATTGACTGATTTTTCTTGCCAAAATCATCCTACTCCAAAACTCATCATATCTAAGTCCCCGCCTTTTGTTGTGGAAAAAATTTGGAATATTTTTGTATAGTAGTATATTAATTGCTCGTATTCTCAATTTGATACAAGTCTATTATTACCAGACTCTTACGTAACCGTCCTATAAAGTAACTTCCCAATTCTTATACACAATTACCAGTTTTGGAATGAAATATAATTACTGATTTCACTTGTGGAATAACAAACTCGCCGTAAAATGATTGTAAGTCAAACATTGGTCCTTCGAGCTGGATATCTTAAAATTACACAGATTTCCAGTGCTAGTATTTTTTGTTTGTTACATCGCAATTGTGCAATGAAGAGTCAGTGCGGGCTCTGCAAGTGAAGTTTCAAGAAGTCACTCACTCTTAATATTTGCGTGGTCCTATATCAGCCCATCCACTAAGAAAGTGCAACAACCGTTTCTGTTCGACCGCCATTGCCCAATAAGACAACTGCGTTGCTTGTTCCCGTTCATCATCCAGCCTTCAGATTCCGTCGCCAGAAATCCGTACCTACTGTTCTTCCAGTTGGTGTCGTTAAGTCAATTTTTTGCCTATATTCCTATATATTCGATTATCTTCAGGTTCATAATTTGCCTGTATTCCTCATATTGATCAATTAAATTTGTATAATTGCATTTCTTGAGTTTAAAAAGTCTAACCTGCGCGGTAAGCGCGCAGGTACCAAACGATCTTTAACATCATTTTCAAACTTTTTAGACAATTTTGATCTGGAATGTGATATTTCCAATCTTGAAATGAGGCTTCGCGACATAGAGGAACTCCGTAGTAGGTTCTCGTCGAAACGAGGTGAAGGCCTATGAGAAGAATCCGATATCCGATGAGCTCTTTGATAATTGCAATACATTTGTCAATGAATATTTGTCTGCCGTAGCTAGAGCCACGAAGTTATATTATATTAAAGTCGCCGTATCAAGAAATTGTTTTTCATATATCTTTACCGAACTCCTTATTAGTATTATCACAAAAAAGAATGAATATACAGGGCTATTCAAATTCGTTTCTGTACATGGGGATCTCGTAAACGATAAGAGATAGAGTATCGGTTGAATTATGGCAAAGTTGTGTATTTTAGAGACCTATTCAATGATGTAATATATATATAGCACTAGGGGTGTCAGCACTAGGGGTGAGCTCCCTTGCAGCTTCGAGAAGCAAAAAACACCAGGTTCCGACCCGGAAACAGTGAGTCAATCAAAAAACCGTGACTGTGTTTCAACCCAGCTAACAGGATCCACATTAGTGTAGGAAGTGTGGACAGAAAAGTGTATCGCAGCGTGCGCTACTGAGACATAAGCATACTTATGGAATAAGAGACAGTCAGCATTATATCCATTGTGGAAAATGTTTCAACCTACGGGAAGGTCAAATTGCATGAAAGACGTTCACAACCCAAGCAATACCACACTGAGCTGCAGGTTCGCATCCCTGGAGAGAAAGCGGTGGTTATGGAACACATGGCGGCCTACTCCGCCAGGTCGTCTATTCATAGCTCACATGGAAAGCACCACCAAGTTAATCAAGGATCAAATTTGCCATAAGAGTTGTTAACCTCAATACGTCACACTTCTGGCCGAAGCCAGGGATGCCACAAAGATGAACTCTTCAACTGGC